CTCCTAGTATTAAAATAATCAATAATGAATAAATTCTGAGAAGACACATGATTGAAAGCAAACACAGGCAACCCCTCCAGCTCCTACAAGTCAGAGAACAGCGGTGGCTTTCTGAGCACCAAGCAGCTTCCAAGTTCTGCTATCTTTTAATAAGAGGTAGCTCCTTCCCGACTTTGCCTATGAAAAACTTGTATCAGGTAAGTTAAAAAATTGTCCAAGGCTATCCAATCAGTAAATGGCAGGGGAGAAAAGGAATGCAGGGTCTGGTTTCAAAAATGACTCTGAGGGTCTGGTGGCGTGGCCTAGTGGCTCAAGTCCTCGCCTTGAATGCGCCCGGGAATCCCATATGGGCGCTGGTTCTAATCCTGGCTGCTCCACTTCCCATCCAGCTCCCTGCTTATGGCCTGGGAAGGCAGTTGAGGACGGCCCAAAGCTTTGGGACCCTGCAGCTGCGTGGGAGACCTGGAAGAGGTTCCTGGTTCCCGTTGTGGTCACTTGGGGAGTGAGTCATCGGATGGAAGATCTTCCTTTCTGTCTCTCCTCCTCACTGTATATCTGATTTTGTAATAAAAAAAAAGAAAAAAAAAGAAAAAAAAAAAAGAAATGACTCTTAACCATCCTACTTCCTGACACCAGTAAGTAAAAGCTAGGGGGAAGGGACACGTCCATGTAGGCAGACATCTCCAGCCTGTGATCAACAAGAAAGCTAGTGCGTCTGCTGGTATAAGGAAACGTTTACTCTCTCACTGTCTGAGAATTACATGTTTTTTCTCAACACTGTTGAAGCAGACTGGCTCCTTTAATCACCTTGATCACATTTCACATTTTTTTTTCGATTTATTTTGAAAAACAAGAAAATATCACATTGTTATCATTAAAATTTAGCATTTTTCTCTTTGTTGAAATTAACATTTTCACTTTAGAAGTTAGAGATAATTACAATTAAACTGACGTACCACAGAAAACTGTAAGAATACAAAAAGAGTTAAATAAAAATTAATGTGAAAAAGTCACTCAACAAAAATAAGAAACAAGCAACTTATAAACTACTGATACACGTTTTTAAAAAACAAAGGCCCAAAACAAAGTTAACCATTAACCTCAAAGAGATTAGGATTATATTCAGAACACCAAAGTGGCCAAATAAGAGTCCATTTAATCCTACTTAAAAACTGTCCCAGAAAACAAAATATAAAGTTTCATAAATTCATTAAAACTTTCAATTCTGGGGCCCAGCAGTGTGGCCTAGCGGCTAAAGACCTCGCCTTCATGCGCCCGGGATCCCATATGGGCGCCGGTTCTAACCCCGGCAGCTCCAGTTCCCATCCAGCTCCCTGCCTGTGGCCCGGGAAAGCAGTCGAGGACGGCCCAAAGCCTTGGGACCCTGCACCCGCGTGGGAGACCGGAAGAAGTTCCTGGATCCTGGCTTCGGATCGGCATAGTATTGGCCATTGCGGTCACTTGGGGAGTGAATCACTGGATGGAAGATCTTCCTCTCTGTTTCTCTTCCTCTCTGTACATCTGACTTTGCAATGAAAATAAATAAATCTTTAAAAAAAATTTTTCAATTCTCAGATGGTAAGTCCATCAGAAAAATTGAGAAAATCTTTTTTTTTTTTAAAGATACTATGCCAATCCGAGAAAATCTTTAACAAGTAAAATCTAGAAACTTAAGTGACCAGCTAAGAGGGTTATCAGAACATAAATAAGGGCACTTAATTCTGAGTATTAATTTTTAAGGAAAAACTTTACTGCAATATGAAACTTTCTTTAAAAATGCTTCAAATAAACAAGAAGATGTTTTAAAATTCCACTTAAGAGAAGCAAAAAATAAGGAAAGATGATATAAAACATAATTGCTAACAACCCTTCAATGTAAAAGTAAAAAACATTCCAAAGAGTGATTTAAAGGAAAAGTAAGAAAATTTATAACCTAAAAAACTGCAGAATAAGCACTTTTAAAGAAAGTACAGTACAAACTATACAATTAATTGCAATAATAAACACCGACAACTAGGACACATTACTTAATTCATAAACAAGAAAATGTGGTCCTTGAAACCAGAGCCAAAGCACTCCAGCACCTCAGACCCCCGCGATGACTTGGCTCTGGAGCTCAGCACATCCGCCCTACGCAGCAACCAACCTGGGGTCTCTCTTTTCACTAAGACACAAGCAATGCCAAGCAGCATGTTAGTCCAGAGCCGACAATCCTATCTGGCCATAACTGCCTTTCAACTGTCCATGCACAGTCTTTGAAGCAGAGGAGGATATGTTCCTGCCCATTTAATCTAGTGCCCAAGACTTGTCCTGCAAAGTGAATAGAAATGATTATCTTTTAATCTATGCCTTGCATGCATACTATTAAGAGGAGGAAGAGAAAGACAAGAACAAAAACATTCTTGAAAATATGGATAAACACTGTGGAGCCTGAAATTAAGTTCTCAGCAAGTCCTCTGCACTTTGTTGAAGAATAACACAACTGACACTTCATGCTTTATAAACGAAGCTTTGGATAACCTCACCATCAGTGTGGAAACACGGGAATTATATGTTAAATTTTCAAAATGGTTGAAAAACAGGTATTCTTTGCAAAATCAGTGTAAATAATACCAATAATTTTCTATTTTTAGTGCATGATTTTGAAAAATGTTCAATTCAACTAGGTTACGTGGTGACACAGAAACAGCTTAAGCTAAAATGAAGTGGTGTATCATGCAGCTCTAAAAGCCATCACGGACACAAGTCAACTGTGCAAGAAGGCAACTACAGAGGAGGAGGAATGACTCAATTCAAAAGCAACAGGAAGCCATAATGACAACACCTTTAATCAAAGCAGATATGGCTAACATAGAAAACAGTGTAATAAAGTTACTGAGAAAGAACCAATGGGAAGGAGGACTGCAATGGACCATCTTAAAGGTAGTAAAGTAACACATTCCATCATTTACATGGCAGCAGAGGATTAACACAAATGAATTAAAGCGTCTTGTACAGATAGTCAAAACAATATTGTAAGAGAAAACTACTGTGCATACTGCTATACTTTAGTACCCTTTTTACAGTATTTTTAAAGCAAATTTGGCACATTTTAAATCTTTTGTTATGCAGAATACTTACATGTTTCTGGAGTAAACAAAGACTGGTTTCCCTTACACAGAACACCACTCCCACCAGCAAAGGGGCTTAGGGTGGAGATTCACGGGCTCCTTGCCCTGGCTGGGTTAGGACTTCTCACCCCTGGCTGGGTTAGGACTTCTCACGTCATGGCACCTCCAGCAGGAGAGTTCCCAAGGCTTGCCCTGCATATACTTATTGCCTTTCTTTCTCTCTTGGTTTGGGAAACCAAGCAACTACTGTGTCAAGGCAAGTTCTCTACTTTTTATCACAGCAGCTTTGGTTATTCAGAAGCAGTTTCTACTTGGTTTAAGCTTTGTTTATTTCAAATCAGTGACAACCATGTAAATGATTATTAGTACACATAAAAAGATACAAACAGGAATACAAAAGTCAAATGCAGGAGGCAATGTGTAGTATCTATCAACTTTATGAACAATTAACAACATTTACATAGAAATGTTTTGCGATTGAGTACAACATTGTTGTTTTTCTAATGTGGAAGAGGATACTCAACATAGAGAAGTTGCGTTTGTTTTAAGTTCTACAAAATGTCTTCAAGCATAAAATCTGTTATTTTTTTTAGAGTTTGTGCAACATCTCTTCCTAAAAAGAGAAATTTGAACCTCAAAATGAAACCAAGTGTTTTATATTTGTCATAGAACAGTAACAGACCCTAACATGGATCAACTATGTTGAGTAAGGATAGAGAGAATTAGTGGAGAAAAAAGCTGACTCTAGATAATTAATTACAGTGGCTTTGGGCAAAAAGCTAAGCTAACATTTGTTTTAGTTTAAGTGCTTGCTTGCAATGTATGGCCTTTGAAACACTAGCAACAAATTATCCAAAACTTGATCAATCTAGAGGTAAGACCCACCAATATGGTTTCAAGAAGCTCCAGAGGTGATTATAACATATGTAAAAGTTTGAGAATCATTTATCAAATACATTTGATACATGATCTACTAAAATCAAAATGTAAGAAAAAATATAAACCTAAATCTATGATTTTCATGATAATAAATATGAAGAATATAGCAAAACTGATACTAAGGCCATAATTTGGCCTTTAAAAATCTGATTATATACATGTGTGCATGCATTCCATATCATGAGTGAGAAAATCATTCTAGTCACAGTTAAGGGAAGAAAAATAGAACTAATTAAATCAATAAAAGCTTCTTGTGGAAAAACAAGGAAAAACTCAGTATAAGTATGAGACAACTTTGGAAGATAATTGCAAAATGAAGAACACATAAATGAAAATTACAGTCAGTTCTTCAAATTATAGACTACTTGAATGAGTTGATTTTAGACCCTTTAAGTTTGGGAATATCTAAGTCTTTTTTTTTTTTTTATTGTTGCTTACATTATATTATGTAGTACAGTTTTATAGGCGCTGGGGATCTAAGTCTTTTAAGAAGACTTAGGAAGAAAAAAAATGTCTACTACCTTACCTGATGCAATTGTTCAAAATATAAACAAATATTTCATACAAATGGTTAATTAACAATATACAATAAGGAAAAAAATTAAACAGAGGAAAAACAACATGAAGTTAGAGTTTCAAATATTAGTTCATGGGTTTGCCAAGGAGTACAGCTTAGTTGCCTCTAAAAATCTCTTTGATTAAAACATAAAAGTATAAGAAAATAAATATCAGATAGACATTTGTTGACAAAGGTAAAAAAAAAAAAAAGTTCAATTCTGAAGGCCATCAAATATCAGGTAAAAAGGCATATATTTTACATAAATAAACTATTATGAACTATTCAGATGAATTCTGGGGATAATGTTATTTTCTTCAGGGGTATAATATTTAATATTTCACCTAAAGGTTAACCATAAACAAAGAAAAGGCAACAAAATCTTAATGACTTACCAGCAAGCGTGCTTGTGTGCCTAAAGGCTCTGACCTGGGAGTCTGACAAACCAGTCAAGAGGGAGATGACCGTGTCCATCATGTACTCATCGTAAATTATGCTGTACTGACACTGTCGAATCAGGACTCCAATAAACTCACAAAAATTGGAACGGAATTTTTTCCACTGCGGTCCAGGCATGGTAAGAGGGTAATCACCACTGTCCTAGAAGGGTTAAACACATGTATTAAGCACGGTGAGTCAGAGCCTGCAGTACCGGCGGCCCATAAAGAGCTTGGGTCAGGTCCCAGCAATTCTTCCTTCCCATGACAGAAGACCCTTTTTCAAAAGCAAATGTAGACAGAACAGAGAAATTTTCAAATGTACTTTCAGTTAGTACCACAACTAAGTAATTTTTAAACTGTTCAAAATTATTATTTCAGAGCCAGCATTTGCTTTCTTGTTTTTCTAGCTTTTAAGACAATCTAGTTTGTTGTACTTGGATTTCAGCTGAGAAGGTCTGAAGTTGAAAACCTATAAGGAGTACTTAGATTACAAAACTATTTGCCATCCACAGACATTAGGTGAAAGTAATCAAAATTTCATCTCTGAATATTTTAAGCAATTTTCAAAAATCAAGAATTGCATAACAAAAACATTTCATTGATAGGTCTAACACAAACATTTCATGTTTAAAACTCTAATCTCATTCTTTCCAATTGTTCTCTGAACTTAACTTTTTTTTCAGAAACAAACCTAGCAAGGGTTCCTGATGTCACCAGATTGAATCACCCTGCTTAGGTCACAGACCTGAGATTGAACCCAGATGGAAATAGTCCCTTTTTCTAATAGAAGCCTTTTGTTATAGAATGAATATAAAAAAACCAGAAAGTTGATAATTTTATTAACATAGTTACCTACATAGTTTTAATTTGTAGCTTTTAATTTTTAAAATATCTATCTATCTATCTATCTATCTATGAAAGGCAGATTTACAGAAACAGGAGAGACAGAGACAAAAATCTTCCATCCACTGGTTCACTCTCCAAGTGGCTGCAACAGCTGCAGCTGAGCCAATCAGAAGCCAGGAGCCAGCAGCTCCCTCGGGGTCTCCCATGTGAGTACAGGGTTTCACGGTTTTGGTCTTTCCTAGACTGCTGTCCCAGGCCACAAGCAGAGAGATGGATGGAAAGTAGAGCAGCCGGGCGTAGAACTGGCAACCATATGGGATCACAGTGTGTGCAAGGTGAGGACTTCAGTCACTAGGCTATCATGCTGGACCCTGCACTGTGCTTTTTAAATTAACATTTTCCCATGTTCTGGACATTCTGCTCTTCTTACTTACTGTTGGACCTACATAAGCTGCGTATTTTCTTCATGGCTATTTGGAGCCTGGGTGTAGTTATTATGGGTCACTCACTTGCTAAATCTCCCATTGTGGTAGGAAGCAAGAGGAGCCATTGGATTGGAAGATACAGAAACAGCAACCCCGCTTTCCATCCAACTCCCTGCTTGTGGCCTGAGAAAGCAGTCAAATATGGCCCAAAGCCTTGGGACTCTGCACCGTGTGGGAGACCAGGAAGAGGCTCCTGCCTTCAGATTGGCTCAGCTCCAGCCGTTGTGGTCCCTTGGGGAGTGACCAGACAGGAGATCTTCCTCTTTGTTTATCTCACTTAAAAAAATTACAGTGCAGAAGATTCTAATGCAATCTTACAAAGACCTTCAAGAAACAGAAATATTTGATTTCTTGATGAAACAACTCAACTGATGAATTGGAAAAGAAAAGCAGTGATAATTATCAGATAAAAAAAGTAATTTGCTACATGGAACTTCTAAAAAAATCCTTAACATTTTAAAAAGCATCTTTAACATGGGCTCGTGTAACTTCTTCCGCCCACTGTTCCTTACAGCTTTCAATGACCTGGCTCTTCCAACAGCAGGTTTACAGGTAAGAGCAGACAAGTATGAAGATTAAAAATCACAGAAATCACAGAAGAGGAAGAGGGGAAAATCTGGGACTGATTGCCTGTTAACCATCAGTACTAAACACATAATGCCGACCCGGAAATTCATGCTGTGTAAAAGTTTAAGCCACGCTGGACAGATTTTCCTGTTACAGACAAGTCAAGAGGAATTAACGACAAGTACAGTAGGAATTATCACTATGTTCCTGGACCTATATTGTGAAATTGTTCACTTTATATGAGTCCTACACACACACACACTCACACAAACCTAACAAAAATAAGAAGTAAGCAAAGATAATTTATTCAGCAAATTTTCTGTTACCAGTACTGTTCCTTTGTGGCTTTCATCAGTGATGCAGAAGAGTAACAATTATGAAAATATCCTCAATCAACAACATCAACCAACAACAATAATTTTTGCTAAGCTGAAATAGCTTCAATTCCAAAGCACATGCTCTCAAAAAGATAAGGCATACAAACATTGCTGAAAAGAGAGTCACTGTAAGTATAAAAGAAATACCCAAAAATCAACAGTATTCACTTGTTTTTATTTCAGTTGGGGATTACCAAAAATCTTTGTTTACTAGATCTACGGATTTGGCTAGCCTAGCAATCATGTTCTAACTTAATCTACTTCTGTGACCTTGAGCAACTCATTCAACCCTACTGAGATGGTTTCTTTATCTGCGGACATCAGCAAACAGAAAGTCACAATTCATATTCATATAATCCTGATAAATATTAATAATATTAAAAAAAGAACAAATTAAAAAAAATTTCCAGACAAAAGAAAAAACTTTATAAACCAGAGCAATTACAATTTTTACTGTGATTTTCCTTAACCTCAAGTCCAAAAATAAGAACTGTTACAAAGTAAACAGCAAGCTACATTTCAATGAACTATCTGCTAAAGTATTTTGTTATGCATCCATTATTGGCAAATCTTCTAAATACTGGAATTATTTATCCCACCGGAAGTAATCATGACCTCCTGGTGATATCTACTGTGATATGTGTATGTTCTTGAGGCTTCAGAATATTTAAACATTCACACATGTGCAAGGCAGGAATTTCTTTAACCTGAGTTTTAATTTACACACGCAATGTAAACAAACGTCTAGTTAATAATGGGTAGCGATGGCCAAATACTATCTCCCTTTACAAACATCAGTGACATTTTTCAGAAGAACAAAGATAAAAATATTAAAATAGAGATAATAATCAAGTAACCCAAAAAGCTTCACTTATAACTAACATTAATATCTTCAAGAGAGAACTGATTTGAATAAGGAATTTATTGGAAAAAAACAGTTGAAAAGGTAAATCACATAAAATCAGAAATAGTTTGAGTAGAAATACAAGGCAAAAATGTGCACGAAGGATAGATGATACACTATTAACCATAAAAGACCTAGTAAAATATCAACACTTTCAAAATGTGTTCAGGAAGAAACAGGGAGAAATCGCTGTGTAGACAAACGAAAAGTGCGAATGACCATTTACACAGTATGTATTTGAATGTGTAACATCTAAAATCCACACACTATAGTGATTAATGTTATGAACAAAGACAACCAGTCCATATGGCAGCAACAGAGGTCTTTATTCCTGGGATTTTAAAGTCTACGTACTTGCCTCTCTACAGTTGGGTTTCAAACGTTTACTACAAAATTAGGTGAGGACAGAATTGTCTACTGATTCTTTGCCAAAGGATGGACACTGTGGTGCTGCTCTCAAATGGAGGGACGAGCAACTAGTGGAAAACTTCATCTTAGAAATTTCAGGGTCCGGTGCAGATCCCATGGCCCTGCTTCCCATCCAGCTTCTTGCTTGTGGCCTGGGAAAGCAATCAACAACGGCCCAAAGCCTTGGGACCCAGCACCTGTGTGGGAGACCCGGAAGAAGCTCTCGGCTTTGGATCGGCTCAGCTCTGGCCGCTTAGGCCACTTAGAGAGTGAATCCGTGGACGGAAGATCTTCCTCTCTTATTATGAGCAAATTAGCAAAACATTTTTGAAAACAGGGATATTAATATCATAAAATGAGGGATTCCTAATAATGGTCATAATGCGGAGAAAGAAAGGCACTGTCATGCATAGTTCATAACTAATGTACATAATTCAGTAAAGCAGCACCACACACCAAGTGATATCATATCTGCACAAGTTTTATACTCTCTCTATACTGTCTTCCACATGGAAGAAAACATGATAATTATCTTTCTCAGCCAGGCTTATTTTACTTAATATAATGATCTGCAGATCCATTCTGTTGTAGATATCACGACTTCATCCTACTTTTATGTTTTAGTAATATTTTTTTGTATTGTATTTTCTTTATTTAACAATCAGCTGCTGCTGACCACCTAGATTGATTTTTCTACCCTTGCTATTCACTCTTGCTACAAACGTAACAGCGCAGGCATCTCTCACATCCAGCTTCACTTCCGTCGGATATATTCTCAGGACAGCTGGGGCATATGGTAGAACAACCACCTAAGGCATCTCCAAGGTGTTTTCCACAATGGCTGCATCAATCTGCATGCTCACTGAGGTCTATCTTCTGTATCAGCAAAAGCTCGGAATCAGGAGCAGAAAGGGGAGCTAAGCCACGATATGGCATGCGATTGCTCCACCAGAAAAATTATCCCTTGGGGCCAAACATCTGCCTCTACACACCTTTCGATTTCTCATCTTGTAAAGGCATGAACTGGTCAGGACACAAGTCCATCACAAGTTCAAGACACACCGTGTATGTGTACACGTGTATATCTGTGTTTCTGGGCTTAACTGGGGTTATCAGAATGTATCCCCTACCAACAAGGGCCTTACGTATTCACAAACATTTGCTTGGGGAATAGAAATGCTCTGATTCACTCAGCTGCTTACCCACTTACCCTGTTAGTAATACTACTACTACTGAACAAATACGATTCTGATAGAGTATTAGGTCTTTGGCATACAAAAACGAACAAAACTAGGATATTCTTTCAAAAATGTCTACTTTAATTAAGGAGATGCAAGGACACACACACGGACACAGAATATTAGGAGCTTCCTAAGGGCGCCCATTCCCTAGAAAGAAGTGTTACTCTACTGATAAAACAAGGAAACAAGAATAACTATATTCCAGGCAACAGAGTTAACAAAGGCATATGAAGACAGATGCAAGAACGGCATGGTAGAGCTGCATTAACTTTGCTGAACTAAAGTAGAGAAATCTGTTACATAAGTATTATGATATTTCAGTTTTTGCTGTA